CAGAGTAAGTACCTTTATCCACTGAGCTAGCTCCCTAGCCCAGGTGTGTTTCTATTGGCGAGATGATCTGGGACTTCAGCAGGTGTGGAGTCATGAAGATTTGGAGAGCAAGCGACTCTGGGGCCTGTTTTCTCCGTTTCCCACTGCCCTGAAAGGCTGGGGAGTCTTTTGTCGTCTCGAGCAGAAAGGGGAATGCTAGTCAGCTTTTCTTCATTGTGACAAATGCTTCAGAGAACTGGATTCAGAAGCAGGAGGGATTTATTTTGGCCGATGGTGTTATGGTTGGCCAGCTTCCTTGGTTCTGAGACTATAGTGAGGCTGAACATCTTGGGGAAGGGTGTGCTGGACAGGGCAGCTCCTCTCACAGTGGCCAGGAAGCAGAGTGCAGGGACAGGGAGATGCCCTCAAAGGCAGACCCCTTTCCTGTGATCTACTTCCTACAAGCAGGCCCCACCCTGTAGTAGCCCATTGGCATGAACTCATGAAAGTATGGATCCACTGGCGAACCAGTCACTGCTCAGTGATTAGATCCAACATCTAGTGACCAGATCCAACATCTAGTGAATAGATTCAGCTTCTTTGAACCTACTTGTTCAAACCTTGAAGGGGTAGGCCATGGGGAGGTATTCCAAGCCACAATGGGGAGTCACCTCTCCTGTTCTTCCTGTGGCAACTCTCAGGGCCCTGCCTGTTGTACCCCCAGTCACCGCGGACAGCATGACAAGCTCTGTCTGAGACTCTAGAAAGCCAGTAGAGTATGACGACCCTCTACTCGTGGTGTTTGGTTTCCACTGCTCAGCTTGGGCAAGTGTAGCTGGTTTATTCGGCTTCCTTGTCCTCCTTTCTGAAAGGGGACCCCTAGAATCATCTGTAGGATTGATAGGATCAGGTGAGAGGGACCACAAGATACAGTCAACATCTGGAAGCTGCCGGTGAGCTCAGGCCTCCTCCCTCCAGATTTGTCTGAGGATAGTTAGGCCTGCCTAGACTCCTTGTTGACTTTGATGACAGGGTCTGAGTGTTCAAGGTGGGACACAGACTTCCTTTGGGGGGAAGATGCTGTGACTGATTCTATTCAGTGAATGTCTTTTACACTATACTTCTGGTTTTATTATACTCCATTCCCACCTCTCTCCACCCCGTAGAGTCCATATTGTTCCCACTTGACAAAAAGAAAACTCAGATTTAAAAAAAAAATGGAGGTCTCATGAACAAATCATAGCTGGGAAGCAGCTGTGTCTCCGAGTTTATGGTGAAGTTAAGCAAGTCTGAGCTTCCTGTTAGATGGATCACCTCCACCCTAGCTCTAGGGTTGGCTGCACAGAGTATCTGTCCCTCACCTCAGCAGCAGTGGATGAATTGTGGATGAGGCAGTGCTCTTTCCAGGTTGTGGTTCTAGGTAGCCACGCAGGGTATAAGAACCCTGTTTGTTTCCCCGCTACTACCGCACTCCCATGCATCATACAGGGTCAACACTCCTCCCACACACGTAACTGTTCGTTATTTTATATATAGTGGCTAGTTTGGCATATAGTAGATGCTCAGTTAATACATTTTGAGTGAATAAACATCTCTTTGTTCTTGCCATTAAAATCATATTGGGGGCTTGGAGAGATGGCTCAACATTTAAGATCACTTGCTGAACTTCCAGAGGACCCAAGTTCGGTTCCCAGCACCCATGTCAGTTGGTTCATAATTGCCTCTAAGTCCAGCTCTAGGGGATCCACTGCCCTCTTCCGATACTTGCATGCATGTAGCATATACTCACATAAACATACACATAGATAACATTTTTAAAAATTTAAAAATTATACAGGTAGAATATACCAGAGCTCTCGTAATTATTGCAACACTGTTCACAATAGCCAAGGCATGGAATCAATTCAAATATTCAACAATGGATGAATGGATAAAATGGATGAATGGATATACATGATATATATATATCATGTATATCCACGCCCAAAAGAGAGAAATCCCGTCCTTTGGTTTATTTTGGCTAACCATTTCAGAGGTTTCAATCCATAATCAACTAATTCCATTGCTTTGGGTCTGTGGCAAAAAGCAGAGTATCATGGCACAGTGGAGGAGGCTGTAGGTCTACCAGGAAGCAAAGAGGGACAGAGGAGTAGCTGGAGTCCCACTGTCCCCTTTAAGAGCGTACCCACAATGGCCTCATCTATCCACTAAACACTGAGGGTTCTGCTGCCTCCCAGGACGGCAGACTAGTGGGCAAGCCTTTCACACATGAGCCCTTGGTAGAAAATGCAAGTCTAAACCACAGCAGGCACGAGAATACAGTTAGTTCCCGACTCTTCAGCACAGTGAGGTGCCTCTGGCTTCAACAACTTATGTATTAATAAGGAACTGACAGGGGTCCAAGGAGATGGACCTGTAGTCACTGTATTTGATCACGAACACATTGTGTGTGTGCATGTGTTTAATTATCACTGTGTCAACCAAAAAAGTCCTATCTTGACAGTTTTGAAATGACTCTGCACACACACACACACACACACACACACACACACAAAGCAGAATGATATAAGTGTGGAGGGTGCTAACTGTTGATGCTCACTGGGGGGTCTTTGGGGCACTAATTCTTGTCATTTTTTTTCTGTATGCTTGAAAAAAATTTTACATTTATGTATCATTACATTCATAGTCTTTTTATTCCCGATGTGCCCCTGTATATAGCCGATTCTCATTGTTGGATTTATGTACGTGTGTGTGTGTGTGTGTGTGTGTGTGTGTGTGAGTGTGTGTGTGTGTGTGTGTGTGTGTGTGTGTGTGTGTGTGTGTATCTTTTGCTTTAATGTCCCCAGTGTTTTTACATACACATTTGGCTGTCTCAGATTCTTTCCCGATAATGAATGTCTACATGTAGGATTACTAGAAAAACTAGTGGACCTTTTCTTCAGAGTCCTTTTGCTGTGTTGCTTTCCAGCAAGAGTGCACAGAGAGTGTCCTGGTCTCACCAGCAGCGTCTGTTTCCTTTTTCTTTTGGATGTACTTCATCTGGTTTACAAAAACACAGGTTGTGATTCACTTGCCCTGCTGGGTTTCCCTGGGGCCAGGCGATGTTCATCTGTTTACTCTGCTGCACACGTTCTCCACTCACCCATGTCTTGGAAGGATTTCTTATGCTGTGAAAATATTCTGGTCCTGTGTTTTCATTGCAGACATTTTCTCCTATATTACCATTCGTCTTTTATGTAAATGGCATGCTTTAATGTACCAAAAGACAAAACAAACAAAAACAAAACCAAACCTTAATCTTACGGGGAAAGTTTTTTGTTTGTTTATCAAGATAGGGTTTCTCTGTGTGTAGCCTTGGCTGTCCTGGATCTCGTTCTGTAGACCAGGCTGGCCTCAAACTCACAGAGATCTGCCTGCCTCTGCCTCCCGAGGGCTGGGATTAAAGGCGTGCGGCACCACGCTGACCTTACGGGGAATTTTCAAGTGCGTCTCAGCTGAGCAGCTTTCAGTTTTTAACCATGACTTCAACTCTGACCGCTGCAGGAGGCACCGTGCCCAGGCACACACGCTGGGTTCAAAGGCCAGCTCTGCCCCCTCTTGCGTTGACTCTGGATACATTTCTAATCCTTGGTCAGGTTTCATTTCTTGAAATGGGATGATGAGATTAGCTGTTGCCTAGTGCTGTAAGGAGCAAATGAACCGTTCCTTAACAGAGTATGTTCCCAAAACACAGGAAATGTGACTCAGGTACTTTGCTTTTCTTGTGACCTCCTGCAGCCAGCCAGAGTGCTGTATCATTTGGAAAGGAATTTTGTTTACAAAGCTAATGCCTTATCAGTGAAAGGAAGCCAGGTTTGTCAGGCAGAGCACGGATATGCTCGATAAATGTTTGCGGTGTAGAAACTGGCAAGTGGCCACTGATAGGGGGCTAATCAGACACTTGTATTTTAAGTTGTTTAAGTCAGATTTCTTTCTCTCTGTATAACAGAGAGAATGAGTAAGGGAGGGATAAAGATAGATGGGCTATGTACACATGGGTATATGTGTGCACCTGTATGTGCATGTCAGAAGTCATGGGAGCACATCAGATGTCCAGTTCTGTCCTATTCCTTTGAGGTGGTATCTCTCACGGAACCTGGAAGCAGATGGTGGTCAACTCCAGTAATTCTCCTGTCTCCACCCCCAACAACAGTGGTGTTACATTGGCCATGTGCAGCTTTTTGTGGATCCTAATTCAGCTCTTCATGTTTGTGCAGCAAGTGCTTCTTACCCACTGGCCCATCTCTCTAGACTTTAAATCAGATTGTTTGTTTGTTTGTTTGTTTTGAGGTTTTTCTAGACAGGGTTTCTCTGTAGTTTTAGTGCCTGTCCTGGATCTCGCTCTGTAGACCGGGCTGTCCTCGAACTCACAGAGATCCACCTGGCTCTGCCTCCCGAGTGCAGGGATTAAAGGCATGCACCACCACCTCCCAGTGATCCTTGAGCCTTTCTACAATGTAGTCCCTGACTTGACTGTCCCCTTCATTCAGTCACCAGCCCTCACCTTCTCACCCTTGTCACTTTAACCCCAATCTTTTGTTTTTCTTGGAGTCTTGATGCCATTGTTTTTTCCTAGCCCATGAGCTCTTTATAGTTCAGGCAGAAGCAGCTGGGACTTCCCACCTTAGTGCTTCCTGTAGATGTTGGTTGAACACAGACCCTCAGAGACCTATTGAGAAACCTATGAACCATCCAGTGTCCAGTTTCCCTGATCTTGTCCAAGCCATGCTCTCTCAGAAGAGTTTATGGAAGCTCTTAGTGGGTACTAAGATGGCAGGCATGGCCTGGGAGCTGGGGTCTAGGACTGTATCTTGCCTGGTATCTTACGTGGAGGAGCCACAGAAAGCCACTCCAGGTGGATGCTGACTCTCCTGGGCCCCTGCTCCTTATAGCTCCAACCATAGGCCTGGGCAAGTGGTATCTAAAAGGGAGACAACATGCCACATGTTCTAAGACCTGACTCACTCCTCTTCCTTTTGTAGACCATGGGGGACATGAAACTGGTTGCCTCATCACACATGTCCAAAACCTCCCACAGTGTGGATCCCTCGAGGGTCAGCTCCACACCCCTCATGGAGGCCCCTGCTTTCATTCTGCCCCCTCGGAACCTCTGCATCAAAGAAGGAGCCACCGCCAAGTTCGAAGGGAGGGTAAGAAGTGTGGTTGACTGGGAGACAGGGGATGGGGGAAGGGGGTGTTCATCAAACTTGTCCTCAGCAAGCCTGACATGACGGAAGGCCTAGTCTTCCTTTGGATCGTCATATAAATTGAATGTGTACCATCTTGCTCTATTTCTTGGTTTATGGTGAGCTCTGGTCTATGTTGGTGGACTCAGCAATGGAGGGGGCCATGCAAATTGACCATCCTGAGGTAGTTTGCTGCTGGGTATATTCTGGATACATGGTCTGGTGTCAGGAGGAATGCACCTTGGGTTTAAATCTGGGCTCCAAAATCTGGTCTCCTAAAAATGGACCGATTTCTCTCCTACTTCTTCTCTGGAAGGAATGTTTTATCAGCTGCCCTCCTGTTCCACCCTGAGTAGTGAGATGTCAGATAGAATCTCCTGATTTTATTTTGTCACCTTTTGCCAATGAATCTTGATCTCTTGCCCTCCAGGGGCCTTCATTTCTTCTTCTGAAAGTATGAATGACAGTTCCTTGCCTGCTTCCTGTTAAATAGATAAGGATGAGAGCAGAGAAGAAAATCTGCAAGAGTAGCTGGTGCTATACCCAGTGGGAAAGCCTTTTAGAAAGCTGTTAGGCCTTAAATCAGCTTTACTCCGAGGTGACATGGACATGAGGAAGGTTGTGGGTAATGTTCATTTGGAGATCAAACACAGGGGTCCCAGCCCCGGAAGCTGAAAGGCCTTGGTGTGAGCACACAGTGAAGTCTGAGGAATTCTTAGGTTCCCCTGTGACCGTAAGCATGAGCTCCTGGAAGCTGTGGAAGAAAGAGGTCCCGCAGATGTGTCTTGGATGCCATTGGCCTTATCTTTGTGTAAGTAGCAGGTTTGGCCACATAGTCCTTTGGAGAGCGTGCTGAGGCTTCTGAGTTGGAAAAAGGCCAGAGCTACCCTGAATTGTATTTACACCAGGCACTGATCTGTCTAGTTAGGACCTGTGCTAATGGGTGTGTCCTAATACCTATATTTTATATATTTTATCTAAAGCAGACCACAGGGGAAGTGTTGGGGATGTTTGTGGGCTCCACCAGCATGAGGCTCTCTTCTGTTGCCCTGAATTTAGTCCACCTCCTCTCATCTCCACCCCAGGAAGGAACCTTGAGCATTCAGAAATGGCTCTGGTGACCACAGAGAGGAAGGAAGTGCTGGTTCATGCCACAGCATTGGTGACCCTTGAACACATTCTAGTAAGCGAAAGAAGCCAGGCAGGAAAGAACGAAACCACATGATTCCATTTATATCGCATGTCCAGGGTGGCATGTCTGAAGGACACAAGGAATAAACAGTCCCAGCAGGTGGAGGAGAGAGGGATGGGCGTGGCTGCAGTTGTTACAGTTTCTTCCCGAGATGGTGAAGATGTTCTGAAATTAGATCGTGATGGTGGCTGTGTGACTTTGTGAATGTTCTTATAAAATGCCGAACTGTACACATTGTAAAATTTAAAAGCCATTTAAGACATGCCTTGGCCAGCAGAACCCCCCATCCTCCTACCACACTGCTTCTGAGAGGCAGCTCCTTCCTTGGCTCCGCTTCCTCACAGCCCAGCGAAGCCCCAGTGTCTGTCCCTGCCACTGCCATGAAGGAGCCGTAGCTTTGAGGTGAGAGCTTGGGACCTAGCAGTTAGCATACCTACTCTTTTGTCCCTACCGTGAAGCTAGGGTTTCTGTATTTGAGGGAAAACCCAACAACAACAGACAAATGCTGGCTGTTTCTAGCCCAGAACAGCCAATAAGACATTAAAAGTGCTTCATGATGTCAAAAAATGTCATAATGCAGTAAGTACCTCTCTGGCTGAGCTGAAATTCACATAAAACAAATTTAATCATTTTGAGCAATTCAGTATCATTTGGTACATTTACCCAGTTGTGTTAGTTGCCTTTCTGTTACTGTAACAAAATTACTGAGTTAAACCAACCTTTAAAAGGTGTCTTCCTTCGACTCACGGTTTCTGAGCTTGCGGAGGCCGTGGTTGGTCCCTTGCTTTTGGGCCTGTGGAGGAGCAGCACATCATAGTAGGGCCTGTAGTAGAGAAAGCTACTCTCTGTGTCCCAGAAACAAAGAAACAGAAGGAGCCAGGGTCCCAACAGCCCCTTCAAAGGCACACCTAATTTCCTTTCACTAAGGCTCCACACGCTAAAGGGTCCACCACCTCCCAGTAGGGCCACCCTGAGGACAAGCTTTTGTCACATGGGCTTCTTGGGGACAATCCAAATCCAAATTGTAGCAGTGTTGACTGCAGAATTCTTTTTTTTTTTTTTTTTTTTTTGGTTTTCTGAGACAGGGTTTCTCTGTGTAGTTTTGGTGTCTTCTGTCCTGGATCTCGCTCTGTAGACCAGGCTGGCCTCGAACTCACAGAGATCTGCCTGCCTCTGCCTCCTGGGTGCTGGGATTAAGGGCGCGCACCACCCCGCCCGGCCTGACTGCAGAATTTTTTTTTAATTTATTTATTTATTATGTACACAGAAGAGGGTGCCAGATCTCATTAGAGATGGCTATGAGCCACTATGTGGGTGCTGGGAATTGAACTCAGGACCTCTGGAAGAGTAGTCGGTGTTCTTAACCTCTGAGCCATCTCTCCACCCCAGAATTCTTAGAACAGCGTTGTCTTTGGAGTATTTTATTTGACTTCTGTTGACCCAGTACATGACTCTGCATATTCCTTGTGGTCTGTGTGTTCCTTTTAAATCAGCCCATGGGCCTGCCCTGCTGCTTGCCACCTGACTTTGGCAGCGTGCTGGTATAGCATGTACAGAAGGCTGTTGTTAGAGAGGGATATTCAGAGAGTCTCCGGCTTACCGGCAGCAAAAGAAGCTATGGCAGAAAGCTCTCTATCAACACAGGTGCTCCGTGGCCACAAACACACGAAGACATTCACATCAGGGAAGGGCCACCTCTCATGACCCCAGGATGAGGAAGCTGGTTGTGGTTGATACCAAAGCTGAAGCTGAGCCGGGGACATCATGTCCTTGTCCCCTCACAGAAGGAAAAAAATCAGGTGGTATGTCATGGCTTTGAGCAGGGGTTGCTGTTAGGAGAAACTGAGCTCTGAATGTAGGCTCCCACATGCTTGGCCAGAGGTGCCAGCTGCCCCCCCAAGGCTGCCTCTGGACCTCTGCACCCTGCCTGCAGTGCCCTCCTCTCTGGGCACACAGCCTGCTCAGTGGCATCGTCTGCCTCACAGTCACTACAGGACCACAGCTTTGGGGATTGGGCTCTTGAAGGAGCTCTTTCCAGGGAACCTTTTGAGGTCATGCCTCGTCATTCAGTTCTGCCCGGCAGTTCCTGTTGGACCCCCTATTACTAATGCCCAAGGACGCCTGCTGGCTTCCCCTCCTTCTTGAGAGCTGCCACTCTAAGTGGAGGGGCCAGCTTCTTCTGGAGAGGCCAGGACTGTGCCCTCACATCAGTGGATGCCACGGATGTGAGCAGGTCATGAAGTCTGTTTCCTCACCACCTCCAGGCCTGTGATTAGCAGCTGGTTGAAACGTGGGCTTACTGTTTTTATCCCTGAAAGCTAAAAGCAACTGCCCGCTCACTCCCATTTTCCTATCATGCCTGTTTTTTAAAAAAGACTGAAGTGAACCCCTCCTCTGGTAATGCACCTCTTCTCATCAGCGAGACATGGGTGACTTTAGAGGGGTGCTGTAGTTGGGTTCAGGCCCCCCTGAGGCACTTCAGACTTGGGCCTTTCTTCTCATGGGGTCAGGTCTGTTGCATCCTGTAGCACTTGCCCACTCTGTGACAGATAATTGAGCAGCGAACACCTAACCTATACCCATTCCCCTAGCGGGCTCTTCCAACCCCTGAGATAACTCCCGAGGCTTCCACGGCAGTTCAGCGTGGCCCAACGACCCATCTGGGCTGAGGTCATCTAGGGGGCTTCAAGGAAAGCTGTCTTCTCATGACTAAAAGTTAAGGAGAAAAGACATCGTGGATGCTCTCTCTCATTTTCTACCTTCCCTTCTTCCTGCCTTGAATACAGATGCAATGCCGTGCTCAGACAGCTATTTTAAAACCATGAGACAGTAAGTGAGCACACTGAGGACTAGTTGGAGGTGGGAGAACAGCAGTGAAGGACTAGCAACCAAGAGACAATACTAAGGCTTCCAGACTTTCCAAGATAAGATCTTTAGCTGTGATTATCCGTCCAGGAAATTTTACAAAAATATCTTCCTAACTGATACAGGTCCAATGATGCGTACGTAGAGATGGCGTCCCTTAAATGATGAACTGCACAGGGCCCAGCTAGAAGCTCTAGCGGTCTCTTTCCATATTTACTAGCCATGACAGGTTGCCTTATTCTGAGTTGAGTATGGCCCTGAAGTCAAAACATTCCAGAAGAATTCCTTCCTTCCTGGCTGTGGCCGTTCAGAAGAAAGTCTTGCACTTGGAGGTAAAGGGAGCACCCTGTGGCACTCCTTCTGTGCAATCAGGTCTAGGTAATTGGCTCAGCTATGTCTTTGAGTGTGTGTGGGGGGGGGGGGGCGGGGTTCGCACGCTCAAAGCTTGAGAAATTGTTTCTAGAAATTCACAAAAGTTTGCCTTCATGCTCCATCTGTGTCCCCTTTAGACACAAGCACCCCATGCGGTGCCCTGACTTACATCTAGAAACCCCTGTACTTCCATCCAGCTGCATCCTCTCCATACTGTACTTAGGACCCATCAGTTTTTACCACATGGTCCTGAACACACTTCCAAGGCTGTGAGATCCTCTTCCCATGACTCCCGTTGCTGGGCCCCAGTGGTGCGCCTGTCCACTCATGTCTTTGCTGGGCTTCCTTGTGAGCACAGCCAGGGCCCCACTTGTTGGGCCAACTGAAGTACCCCTGGCTGTTCTCCCATGTGGGGAACTGCAGCATTGGTGGGCTGCCTGCCTACCACAGGGTCCGGTATGAGAAAGGCAACGGTGGGGGAACTACTAAAATCAGTCGAGATTTCTTCCCCTTTGCCCAGGGACTTACCATGTTC